AATCTGGAAAAGGGTGGCGGTTTGAAAATAAGTCTCTAAGCTCTATTTTTTTGGTTTTTCATTATTGTTTCATACGCTCTTCTTCGGCACATGGTCTTGTTTTGCAGATTGAAGCAGTATAATTTTGATATAAAAGATATAATTCTTTGAGGTGACATTGTCGGTAAATTTTCTCAAAATTTTTTTAATTTTTGGTTATATTTGACCAACTGCCGAAAGATTAGCATATGTACTTTATTTACACCAAAGGATTTGTAATTCTATTAAAGCAATAAAAAACGCCACCCTTTTTAGAAAATTGAAGTTTCGGTCGGTAACAATATGACTTCAGCATCCTCTTAACCAAGAATTCTTAAACCATTCCAGTTTTAAGAAAATAACATGCATTTATTATTCATTACATGAATAACCTGTTCAGGCGAGTAATAAAGAATTATGTAAACAAATTTATTTAAATTATTGTTTATTTCCCATACGAGCTCTATAGTACATACAAAATAAATACTTTATAATTTTATTCATACCTGTATCGGTAGACTCATTTTCTTTATTTGAAGGGAATGTAATTTCTGCCACTTCTTTTTGTTTAATTCTATTGTTCCAATCACTTTGTTTACCAGCGATACTTGATAATGTATTTCTTCTTGCAAAATTGGCAATTCAAACGTAGCCAAAACATGATTTTCCTCAACGTGTAATGACTCGGCATCAGTATGATTATTAGTCAATGTGGATGACTGCAGCGATAAGGATGTACTTAATGGACATGGAGAATCAGCGCTAACTTTAAGATTTCGGTAATCAGGTAGCGGATGCAATAATTTAGTAACAGTATTGCAATCTGATTCTTCATCAGAAGAAAAAGACCTTTTCGCTCTATTCTTACGGGTCCTTTTTAACGTATCATCATTGTCATCATCTGTATTTATATCCGATGTCGTTATCGCAAGAGTCTGCATACGTACGCTTTTTTTCATAATCATCTGCGCAATTAATAAAAACATTATATAGTTGTAGCTTTTTATTAAATTTATATAGTATCTACTACTATACCTGTTGATGCGAAAATCCGAGTAACGTTGTACAATTTCCATTTTGTTTTCTCGCTTTTGATGTTCGGCTTTTCTTTACGTTTAACCATTTGTTA